GCCGTACGTTGCCCCTCCTAAAGCAGCCACAAGCACTCGCTGGTGCAGCATGGCATGACCCTGGCTGGCAGCTGGGCTTTGGATGCACCTGCTCTGCGCTCCAGATTTACCGCTTCCCAGAAAGGGCTTTCTCTTGCACTCTGACCTTTAGCAAAGGCCTGCTGCCGCATGGCAGAGGGCTCCAGTCAGTGACCTTGCTGGGACGAGAACACTGGTGGTGTCTAAGTAACTCCTTGCTGGAAGCCAAGCAAATGGGGGGGCCATCAGCCCCTGCCAGCCTTTCCTCCCCCCCAGCCTGCAGTGCATCCAAGGCCAAGGCTGCAAAGCTGCCTGCCCACGGGCTGGCACGGCCCTGGGCAGAGAACAGCACGGAGCCTCCTGTCCTCACAGCCCCTCTCCGGGGAAGCTGCACATCGTGTCCTGACTCCTACAAATCCTGGGGGTGCAGAGGTGGGGCTACACCAAGCAAGCAACCAGGGAAGCATGCAGTGTCCTGGAGGAAAGGACCCCTTCCTGGCCTTGGGAAACAGGCAGGAGCCCTGCAGCAGAGAGGCTGATAGCAGTCACTGCCTCAGCGCAGGCTCTGCTGTCCCTGCAACCCCAGCTCTAGCACGGTGATTCGCCTTCAGTTTTGATGTTTGCCTGGTGCTTGAAGGCTCATGGGGAGAAGAAATGCTTTAACATGTTTCTCCTTGTGGTTCCTCTGGCTGAAGCCAGTACACAAGTGCATGAATGTCCCCCCGCACACATACACAAATGTGTATGTACACAAATGCACAAGGGCCAGGATATGTATACGTACTGCTGTACACAAGCCCATACAGCCAAGCACATGTTTGTAAATATGTGCATATTCACACATGCCAATGCACTGATGTTCTTGCATCCTGCATGCACACGTGACTCCGCAGTAGAGCATCCCTGGGCAGGCATGCAGGTTTGGGAGGCCCATTTGCATGCCAGGATGCAGATCGGGGTCACACATATGTGTGTGTGTGTGTACGTGACCACCTCTCTTGTGCGGGACCACCACACCTGTGTGCAGGCACGCAGGGACATGCATGCAGTCTATAACCACAGCCTTTTATTATGTCACCCAACTGCCTGTAATAAATAGTTACATGTCACACTACATGGCTTGGCTGCGACTGACAAAGGTCCTGCAAGGCAGGAGAAGCTATTATAGGAACAGATTGCTGGAATAAAATATTAAATTTCCACTTATCAATCTCTTTAATGTGCTATAACTCTAATAGAAGCGTTCAGCCTTCTCCCTCTGAACAAATCACCCTCCCCATGAGGGGGCTGAACAAGCCCTGCACTCCTCCTCGCTGGGGCTGGGGCTGGGGCTGGGAGGAAGAATGCTGGGTGGCAGGAGGGGGGAGGTCTGTACAGGGGGAGACAGGCGAGAGAAAAGCCACTGCAGGGTTTTCTCTGCATCAGCCTTCTGTTTTTTTTTCTACCAAGGCTGGCTGCTCACTAGATTGAACTCCATTTACTGCATGCAGCTTTTGAAAGAGGTTTCGTGGTCCACTGACAATCCCTAAATTGCCTGCAAGACCCAAACAAATGTACCTGTAATAGCTGAGCAAGGACGGCTGAGCCCTCCCCAGCACTGGTCTAATCAGTCCTTAGGGAGAGCTGGATAAACATATTCAGGTCCCATGAATTATTAAAAGCATCTTTTTTATGTGGTAGAGGCCTGGCGTAACGGGGTGGCTGGTAATCCCTTCTAGCGGGGCAGCTGCTGGTGTGCCCTTCCTTCATTCTCATTTAACCTCAATCCCACAATTCAGACCTTTGGGAATAAATTGATATTACAGGCAGGCAGACATCAGCCCAAAGTCATTCCCCAGAAATCCTGCCTGTCCCCACTTCCCTTACCAGCACTGTGCTGATCAAGCATAAGAACGATGCTCTACCAGTCCCCTGAAAAACCACCAGGAAGGGAGACATTTACCAAAGCCTGGATGGGGAACCCACTGACCCTTGTCCCTAGAGCAGCTTCTGCCCGTGCAGGCGAGTCGGTGCAGCCCGCCCAGGCTGCAATGCTATTGTGGCACTGAGACAGATCAAATACTGGCAGGTGGCAGCAG